AATCATGGCGCACACAGTGTCTTTCCATGTTCTTGTGAAAGATTCACTCTCGTTTTGCACATTTTGAGAGTAGTGGAGCGAGGCCCAAGGTTGGGGGATGCAGTGGAAATCACACTGGATGGAATTCGGTGGTTCTCCTACGTACGACCTGAAGATCGGAATCCAAGGCAGAAGGGATAGAGGCCCAATTGCGTCCGTCTTTCCTCTTTTTGCTGTTGTATGCATCACGGGTAGAGGAAGTGGGTAGTGGACGAAACCTCTCAAGCTGCAAGCCTCTACTCTCATCCACACGCCTTGAAAAGCGGCCACAGTCTGTGGTCGGCTATGGAGGCCAGGAGAATAATGAATATGTCTGCTGAACGTTAATAACACAGTAGGAATACCAGCGGGAGGGAGGTAAGGGGGTAAGGGTAAGCAGGGTTGGAAGAGAAGGTGGGGGGGAGGAGAGGGGGGGGGGTCGCCGCTTAAGGCTGTCAGCCCCCTTCTTCATCAGAGGGGAGGACAGAGGCTGGCAGGATGTCTTAGAGCCGTGATGCCTCTCTCTGACGGTTTCATCTATCTTGACTGTCTTGCTTGCTGGTGATAAGTAACTGGGACCACCACCGCCCTGAACGGAGGTCCCCGGGGAGACCTCCATACGTACGTCCCCGGGCAGACCTCCGTACGTACGGGCGTTCGGGGTCCCGTACGGGGTCCGAACCCGATGGCGTTCGGCCCCGCCAAAAAATATTTCGGGGCCTAAAAATATTAGTTTTTTCTGAATTTTTTTTTGTGAGTTCTCTATGACGTGAGGTACATGCCTGTAAATTTTCAAGTCATTTGGCTAAGCCAAATAACAATTTAAAATCGCCAAAGATGGCGGTGTCAAAACGTGCTCGCTTACGTATTGTTTCACTTTTTACTTTTTGTTTTCACTTTAGTTCGGGGTCTAAACAATTTTATTATTTTTTGAAACTTTTTTATTGGGTTTTGTATTATGTTAAGTACACATCTGTAAATTTTCAGGGCATTTAGCTATGCCAAAAAAAAATGAAAATTCGCCAAAGATGGCGGTGTCCAACATGCTCGCGCACTCACTAAATTTAATTCTCTTTTTATTTTTATTTATTTTTATTATTAGTATTTGTTTTCTGTATTTTATTTTTATTTCAAATTTGGTAAGGAATTMGGATGTAATGCTCAGGCAAATCTTGTTTAATTTATTTTTCTCCATAACATATCTTTTTTTCAGATTTTTTTGATGAACTTTTTTTTTTTTTTTTTTTTTTTTTTTTTGCGTCCATGTTCGGCCCGAACGGCCGAACGCATCCCCAAGGGGTCCCATACGTTCGGGCGTTCGGCCCGTCCCGAACGCCCGTTACCCTGGCTCCAACAATGACAAAACTATTAGATTTCACTTGTTGCCAGAAAGTCTTCTTCCCGAGGATAAAAATACCGGCGGCGAATTTCTGCTACTACTACCTGAACATTCACATAGATGTGACCGGTCCGGTCTTCAGAGCGGGGGGAAGGAATCACATCATGGTGATAAGCTTGTTCCAGAGGGAGATTTAAGGAAGAGGGGGGTTTAAGGAAGAGGGGGACAAAGGGAAAGTAAAAGGGACTCGAGAAGCCGTACGTAATTAAATGTTGACATACTTGTCTATACTGCTCCGAAATGTGCATGCCAGCGAACTGCTTACGCAAGAGAGGGCACTGGGAAGAGAGAAAGGAAGAACTGCACTCATTGACATTGACACTCCAACAAAAATAACAAACTCAAAATGACAACACGTCATGTATCCATCTCACTATCCAAAGATTCAACTCAGCAATTGAACGGAGAAGAAGCTTCAGCAAATAAAATTGCAACGAAATCAAACTTCCCGGATTCACATGCCGCGCGACATGTTTCCCCATCACATGAGCTCTCACGAACGACATAACCCTGAGCCGATTCCCGGTTGCACCTACCCTGGCCCAGACGGTCCGCCGTCTTGCATGCTAATCGCAGGCCAAACCGGCACATCACTTGTTCTCTTAGCTCCTGTTGGAGTACCCGCGGTTCATTGCAGCGAACTCATCACCCCGCCACACACCGGCACATCTGAAATTTTTTGCATGTCCGAATTTTCCGCATACCTCTGGCTACTCCGCGCACCAGCTCGGCGCCGTCCTCGGGAAAGACACAGAGTGCAGGAAGATTGCCAGCCCAAAATTTGTACCATGCATTGCGCATGAGATGGAGAGTTCAATCGGGGTGAGAGAGGAATTGATTATCAGGGAGGAAGACAGGAAAAGCAGCAGACAAGGTCTGGGAAAGATGCATGACCGGGTCGACGTGCAGGGGCTTACAACATTACACCCAGCGCCACACATTTATCTGGCATGCATCCTTCTCTGCCCCACAAGAAGATGCAAAGAAGTAGGGAATAAGGAAAGGGACGGGGAGAGAAGGCGGCGGAGCGGAAGATGGAAAAGGGTTAAAAGGCAGGCATAGTTGCAGAGGTTACGAGCATGAACAGTGGTTAGAGCAAAGACAAAGGATGCGGCAGGCATGCAGGCGAGACAATGAAAAAGGAAATATGCTTCAGCACCGCCACATGCAGAACAGAAAGGGAAGGAGCTAACTCAAGAAAAGGGAAAAGAGAAGAACAGCTGTGGTCCCACATCCAACCTGTGGAGGTTGGATGACTGAGTATCCAGCTTCCCTTCGTATCCAGGTTCCCTTCGTATCCACCCCCTCAATCAAGAGTGATTGTCTGAGCTGATTTCACCCTCCCTTATGCTTTGTTGAGGGGGCAAGCTGCATCATTTCCCAAATGACCCTTGATTCTGCAGCAAAAGCACATGCGGTTGGATTATGTAGACTGTGCTGTTTTGGTGACCCAAACTCACTCTGAAAAGCCACCTTTCGGCCATTTTGGGTGGGAGCCTGTCTCGTTAAGGGCACGCGTCAAAGGAATACAAAACAGCATGATGTGTGCAAAAGAGTCTGAGAGGAGAGGAATCCTTACTTAATTAACCCTAAAGGGCCTAAACCAAAATCCCTGAATCCTAACCCTAAAACCGATTACCTCAAAACCTAAACCCTGAACCTTAAACCCTAAACCCTTGGCCATGGACCCTGTGGGATGTTGGTAATTCCTTTTTGTGTTTCCTTTTCCAGTACTCTCTTCGTCTGTTCTCAGTGATGTTCTAGCTTGTGCGCATGTGGAGAGTCTCTTCCACCGCTGTACATGCATGTTATTTGTCCACAAAAGCACATGCCATCAGGTGCACTATTTGATCTGTCTCAAAGAGAGGCGCAACACTCATATAAGGGACAGAAGTTCAGCAGGAGAGAATGTGGATATCATTTGTTTGCGGTAGCAGCCCGAGTGTTGTACCATTCCTTCTGATTTGACTCACAGAACAATTGCAGATGTGACAAGCGAATGCCATGTAACCTCATCGGCCACAAATAGAACAAGCAATAATCCTCTTGAGTCATCATGTCACAAAATTCTTGTAGTTTCTGTGAAATTGTTGGATGGCGTACCTCCCACAAACGCAATCACAATTAAAGCCTTGGGTGCATATTCAAGTAATGGAGCGCACGTTGCCATCGTGAAAGCGCCCAGAGCTGTGTGAACCAGAGCTGATGCTGCAACAAATTGTCTCACGCCTTTCCTTTATGTTGGAATGTGCAAACGAAACTGCTTCGTTCTCCTGCACCTCCCTATCCCCCTCCCCCCCTTTCCCCCGTCCCCACCACTACCACCACCACCACTGAACCTCCACTCCTGTTGCCAATGGTGAAGGGGAGAATAACCTACCTGCCCTCGGCAATGTTGTGTTTGTTCCATTGCTGTTTTGAACAGGTTTCAAACTCTGAAACTTGTTGACGGTCGCTTGCCGCATGCATCAACTGTCAGCCTAAGAGCAACGTACATGTGAACTGCATGTCGGATGGGGTCGACAAAAAGATTCCATAAAAGAAAGGTCCATGATTCTGCAGTTCGGCAGGGGATGGTACTGCGCAACGGTTGCTATTTGGGTTTGTGAAATTATGTGACATATTAGTTTAATGATTGTGTAACATTTGGAGGGAAGAAGAGGCAAGTCAGTGGTCAGCTGTTGTCCACAAATAAGACCTCTGCTCTGCTGTCTGCATCTGCCAGACGAACATGAGCTCAGGGGGAGCCTTTGGGCTGGGCGGTTCCCGAGGATTTCAACCAATACCCCCAGAGAAGGGAGTTTTCCCCCTTGACCACTTCGAAGAATGCAAAGAGGTGAGGGTACCCCTTTTGCCTTTTCTGAAGTTTGTTGGCATTTTGTTGAAGGTGAAAGGCCATCATCATCATCCCATGGCCCTTCTGTGTATGGAGTAGTCTGTATTCAGTACTATTCACCCCGCCTCTCCGAATTTTTTCACGTAATTCCTCCCTGCGGTTTCTGCAAGAAGTCTCTTGTTGCTAAAGATTCCTGGCAATTTGGAAGGTAGGAGCATGCTGAGAGGAAATGTGCAGTGGAAATTAATCTGTGTGAGACACACACACACACACACACACACAGAGAGAGAGAGAGAGAGAGAGAGAGAGAGAGAGAGA